TAATAAGTTTAAAAACATGTTAGAAGTAATCTATAACAATTAAAATACCTTATAATTTAGAATGAACGAGTAGCAATAAACCATGACCTTTCTTGTACAACTCTCGTAAACTTATATATTTTTTCTTAGGAGATGAACTTATATATTTGGAGCTGCACAATGTGAAGTATATATGAGCTATAGAGGTAAAACAAAATAAAGAAAGGCAGCAGACTTGATCCACTTTGCATTTCAGTGCATAGCTGGACCTTTTTTTTTTGAATCCTGCATAGCTGGACTTAATAAGCTCCGACGCTCTCAACTGCCAGCTGCAATGCTGTCTGGTTCGTGACAAAACCCCCGGACACAAACACACGTCTCTTGACCACTGTTCGCATTCTGGCCGCGTCCCTACTATCCCGTGTTTGCTTCAAGCAGATTCTTCTCCATCCTGCGATGCTAACCCCTTTTTTCCTCGACTGCAGCTTTCGGAAATGATCCGATGCGACACCGCTTGTTGGCTCCATAGTCCACACCAGTAGCTCTCAAAGCTGGCTAAAGAAACCGGGAAACGATGGCCGGTGGGGGCGGCGCCGCGGCGGCCTGGGTGGCGCGCGGACGGCCCGAAGTGGGAGGCGCGGTCGTTACGAACGGACGGATTAGAAAACCACGCAGACGCGCTGGAGCCTGGGAGTGGGAGGAATCCGTTCATCAAAGGCGAAGAGGCTATCGAAAGCTGTGTCGGGTCGGTGGCGGGTGGGGGCGCCGCGCCGCGGCCGCGCAAACAACTCCTACCACCTTCCAGCAGCCCTCTGTCCTGGCCTTCCTTCCCTGCGGCTCGTTCGTTTCGTTAAAAAAACAAGTCGGAACATTGTTATAGCTGATTTGTTGAGAGAAAAATATTGTTTTAGCTTAAAAACAAACTGAAAAAGACGGATTATAAGATAAGAAAACAGTGTCGGCTGGTCCACCTATGCCGCCCGCGCACGGCCGCTCCCGGCGCCCGTTTCGCCACCAACGGGCGGCACCGCCGTACTACTGCAACGGATCATTCGTTCCAGCTCTTGTACGTCCTTCCGTTGTGCCCAACATCTCCGTGATCCGTGGCTTTCAATTCCCCATCAACAGTCCTAGCAACCGTCCTACGGTGGCGTAGTAGCCGAGAACCGTCCTTCTACCGGTCCTCTTGCTGCTCCACATCACATAGGGTCTATTAGGTTGTCTTTCTAAAGCTAGTTTGACTTACATTTTAAGCCAGGGTAGTCTAAGACTAGCAATGTAACCTTAGATTGTTTGGTTGATCTTGGCTATGTTGATAGAATCGCCTTGTATAAGAATGGAGGTAGACTTACCACCATCCACCAGCAGCACCACCATGTCCAGCAAGCAACGAATCCACACAATCCCCACCGCGGCCACGCTAGTCGCCTCCGATGGCCGTCCAACGCGGGCCTCACATCATCAAGCTTCACGATTCCAACCCACCCTCCTCGGCCGGGAGCCGAGGGCCGCGCCGGCCGCCGTCCTTGCGCCCTGCGCGACGAGGGCCTCTATCACGATATCAGCGAATCACCGCCCCTCTTGAGCGCCTCGCTGCGCACCCTTTGACTCGCCCTCATCGTTGAAGTGCAGGCTATTTTTCCGCCGCCGGAAGTATATATGAGCTATAGAGGTAAAGCAAAGGGCGTGGCAGACTTGATCCACTTTGCATTTCGGCGCACATCGACCGCCTCCAGTGCGCGCCCTCTGCATAGCTGGACTCTAGGGGCCTACGGAGAAGCTCAGTACACAAGCTGCTGGTGGAGACAAAGGTCCGGGGAACCGGCGAGGCGGACTGGTTCGGGATCTGGCCGAGGCCCTACTAGGCGTGTTTGGGATGCGGCGGCCATCCTGCCCAACCTTTTTCCTCGACGGAGGCGTGGGGGAGACGTGATGCGGGACGCTTGTGGCACAAAGTCCACACGAGAGCAAGAAGGGAGGAGGAGGCGGAGGAAGGAGTCGCCAGGCAGGGGGGACGACGGACGCGACGCATGAGATGAGACCGAGGAGGGAGGTGAGTGAAGGACAGGATGCGCTAGCCAAGGTGGCTAGTGGAAAATGATTTGACGATCTGTTTCTAGGAAGCCTGGCTAAGGGGTCCACTTAACTTAGCTATGTCTAGCTATGTGGCCAAACTAGACAATCAAATATCTCGCAGCTGGTCTAATAAAACCTAGCCAGAGGTTAGCAGGTAACAAACAGCCCCCCGTAGGGATCGCTACGCACGTTAGCTTGCTCTTTTGCAGGAATGGTAACCGTTGTCTTGCTGCTGAAAATTAACACTACATAAGTGCTAGTGGTCGTAGTGCAGCACGTGGGAGCCATTGAGTGTGTGCGCGGAACCGTATGGCAAAAGATGTGGAATTTTGGATCCGATCCCAATCGTGGCGCGTTTACGGGCTCTGGCTCTACAACTGCATTCATGGAGCCTAGCTGGTGCCTGAAACAGCCGTCTTGCGTCCTCAGCCCGCCACGTAACGGCCCGTTTGGCTGGCTGCAAAAACAGCTGATACCGATGCTAACGTTAATTTATATAAGTTTAAGTGAATAGGGCCCACGCCTCTTCGGTTTTTCAGCCTACTTATAGAGGATATTTGTGATTCGTTTTCACTGTACACAACTTAAATAATATAAGCTACGGAATCATAATTGGCTCCGTTCGCTTGTCTTAAATTTAGCTTGTTCGATTTGTTTTTTCAGTCGGAACAATATTTTTTTCTCATAACAATTCAGCCGGAACATTGTTTTTCAGCTAGTTTCAGCCAAAGTTCAGACCAGCGAACGGGGCCGATGTGGTGAGCCTCCAGGCTCCAGCTGCCTCTGTCGTTTTTTTCTATCACATTGCAAAATACAGCAAGCACGTCTGTCTGGCTACGAGTGTACCGCTACGAACGGGCATCGGATTCTATTGCCGATGCCGAGAAGTAAAAAGCCTCTTCTCTGATTCAGAGGAGAGCAACTCTTTTCCTGTCGATGCTGTCCCGTCAAATCGCTTATGCGTTCTTATCTACGTCTATACATGTTTTATAGGCCATGTTTAGTTACCCACGGAATTGGCGTCGTCGGATTTCCTATAGACACTGTAGTGTACTGTAGCATTTTTATTTGTATTTGTTAATAATTGTTCAATCGTTGACTAATTAGGCTTAAAACTTTCGTCTTGTAAAGTACAACCAAACTGTGCAATTAGTTTTTAATTTCGTCAACATTTAGTACTCCATGCATGTACCGTAAATTTGATGTGACGGGAAATTTTCTTTTTGCATAGGGGAAAACGATTTTGATCTGGTTTGACCCTGGCTAGGGGTCTCCCCCTCTTAACTTCATTGTTCATCATGTGGCCAAATCCAGACAATGTTTTCTCTCATAACAATTCAGTTGAAACAGTGTTTTTCAGCTAAGTTTTAGACCAGCGAACAAGGCCATAGTGTCAAAGTTTGAATTTGGGATGAACTAAACATGGCCATAATCTCTTTGATGACAGTTGACATGCATGTTGATTTTTTAGTCCTAACTGTCGTAGTGCAGCACGTGGGAGCCTTTGAGTGTGTGCGGAACCGTATATAAAGATCGAATTTTGGATCTCAATCGTGGCGCTCTGGAAAAATTCTGTGCTCTACAACTGCATTCACTTGGAGCTTAGCTGGTCCTCCATGCCAGCCGTCGATTGCGGCCTCAGCCCGCCAAATAACGGCCTGTTTGGCTGCGAAAATGTCAGCTTGAGTTCAAATATGTTATTAATTTTTTGAGCATCTTAACGACTTCAAATGCGAAAAACTCAAAACTAAAAGTTGTAGATCAGCCTACGAGATCTATAATTTTCATATAATTTTTTTTCATTTAATTCCAAAAAAAAATATGACAATTTTTAAAGATATATTAATCATATGAAATCATATTTTTTGTGAATTAAATGAAAATGCCTTTTTTATATGAAAATTATAGATCTCAACGAGACAGCAACTTTCTATTTTTGAGTTTTTTATTTGAAGTCGTTAAGTTGCTCAAAAAAAAATTAATAACATATTTGAAATGTAAAAAGCATTTTCTCTGATTCACAGGAGAGCAACGTTATTTCCTGTCGATGCTGTCCTGTCAAATCGCAAAATGCGTTCTTATCTACGTCTAAACCATGTTTTTTAATCTCTTTGATGAAAATAGTTGATCTTTTATAATGTTGACGCGAAGTCCTCTCGCCAGCCTTACCCCTCGAGAGGACGAGACCAATCCGCCGGGCTGGACTGCCCGGTCGTGCGTGCTCACCACTCACAGACGCAACACAACGCAGCGCACGGCGGTCGCGTCACCTCGGCCGGTGCACCATTTCCACTGACCCACCGCCCACCGGCCGCATCGAACAGGAAACTTGTAGTAAGGCCTTGATGAGATTGAAAAAATTTTCAACCCGATAAATAATAGTATTTTTGTTTTATTTGGTAAATATTATCCAATCGTAGACCAACTAAGCTCAAAAGATTAAACTTGTGATTTCCAACTAAACTGTGCAATTAGTTATTTTTTTTATCTACATTTAATGCTCCATGCAAACGGCTAAAAATTAATGTGATGGAGAGAAAGTGAAAAAACTTAAATTTTAAAGGTATCTAAACAAGACCTAACCTAGGCGCCTAGGCCCCCTGCATTCCGACCTGAAAAAATCAAGGCTTTTTCTTTCGTTCATTCATGGGGTCCAATGGCCCGACCTTTCTCCCTCCAAAGGTGAAGAAGGCGAGAGCCAAGAAGCTTCAAAACAACTCATCCATCATCCTGCCAACCCGGCACCGGCAGCAACTCTCCCCCCTGCCATCTCATTCCCCCACTCTGCCTTTGCAGGTGGCCACTCGCTGCAAGCATTCCACATACTTTCCTCCGGTCTCGTTCGGCGGCGAGGCTCCGAGCAAGGTCGCGCGCGCTTGTCCATGCCACGGCCGTAACCATAAGGGCGGTCGAGCGAGGAAGAGAGCTAGCGCGAGCGCGGAGCCATGGCGGCGTCGGCGGGTAAGCTGGCGGCAGCGCTCCACCGGAGGACGCGCAGGGTCACGTCCGCGCTGGCGTACGCGGCGCTGGAGTGGGTCCTCATCGCGCTGCTCCTCATCAACGGCCTGCTCGCCTACGCCATCGCCAGGTTCGCGGACTACTTCGGCCTCAGCCCGCCGTGCCTCCTCTGCTCCCGCGTCGACCGGCTCTTCTTCCAGGCGGAAGGCGGCGGCGACGAGGCTGGCGCCGCGCGGTGGCTGCGGGACGCCCTCTGCGGCGACCACGCCGCGGAGATCTCCGCGCTGGGGTACTGCCTCCGCCACCGTCGGCTCGCGGTGGCCGGAGAGATGTGCGAGGGCTGCCGGTCCGAGTGGAAGGAGAAGACAAGCGATGCTGCAGGTGCGTGTACCTGCTGCAAAGCTGTTGTACGGACTTCTTTGCGCGAGCTAGAAGATACAATTACAAGGGATGAACATGTCTTGGAGAAGGTAACCGAGGAGGTAGAAGATGACGACCGAGGCTATGTTCTGCTGGCTCAAGATGATCACGAAGAGGACGAGGAGGAGCCGGATGAGGTCGAAAGCCAAGAACAAGAAGAGCAGAGCGAGGTGGATGCCCAACAGCAAGAAGACGAGGTGATGGCTGCCGTTCAGGATGAATCCTTGGAATTCATGGATCAGGTCGAAGACATCACCGCGATCGAGGACGACCGATTGGTGTCGGTGGTGGCACTTGACGAGATGACCGTCGCCGATGATTCGGGTTTTCATCGGGATGTTGAAGAGGAGGACGGAATGAATCGTGTAGTAGAAGATGAGCAGGATGCGAGGGATGTGGATATCGGAGTGGTTCTGGAGGAGAAGAGGATGTTGGATTCCTCGGTTGCAACGCCGGCTGATGTGATCGAGGACTCCGTCGTGCCCATCAGCCCCGTACCTTGTCCTGAGACTCTGTCGTGTCCAACAAACCCATCTCATCCTGATCATAACTCCATTTCCCAAGATGATGGAGATGTTCCTGAAGATACTTCAGAAATTGGCGATTCCACGGCCGAGGAAGAACACATCTTTTTGCCTCAAGGTACTTTCTTCATGTGCTTCTCAGTATCATGTTCCATACATTGCAATTGGTAACCATCTTTTTTTCCCCTTCAGTACAAGAAGCCATTTCTGAAGATGACAACAGAACAGCTGAGGTGGACACGAACTGCGAAGTATCAATCGGAAGCGATATATGCGAACGGGAACAAGATGACCATGTCGTTCGATTTCAAGATTTGCAAGAGTTTGAGGAACCGGTTGTTCCATTAGCAGCTGCAGATGATCTGCCATTGCCATTGGAAATTCTAGAGCCACCTGACCAAGGTAGTTAAGTGATTGAACGCTACTTCACCTCCCAAAAAAATCCCCACTGATATGTAGTAATTGATAATTGGCGCTTTTGTTGTACTAAATTTAATTTTAACTTTTGTTGGATTAGAAGCAGGTGAAGTTGAACAGGAGGAGGTGACGACGAGCACGGGATTAGACCTCCAGCCAAACGAACAGAACGAGGTAGAAGAAGACAAAGCACCTGAGACACCGACGAACAGCGCCGCTACACAACGCTCCGACAGAATGTTTTTGCTGGAGAGGAAACGGTCGCTGTCGCTCTCTCTGGACGGGAGCGTAGCGAGCGAGATGGAAGGCGGCGAGCCTTCCACCGTGGACCAGCTGAAATCGGCGCTGCAGGCCGAGCGGAAGGCGCTGGGCGCGCTGTACGCCGAGCTGGAGGAAGAGCGGAACGCCGCGGCCATCGCGACGAACCAGACGATGGCGATGATCAACCGGCTGCAGGAAGAGAAGGCGGCGATGCAGATGGAGGCGCTGCAGTACCAGCGGATGATGGAGGAGCAGTCAGAGTACGACCAGGAGGCGCTGCAGCTGCTGAACGAGCTGGTCACCAAGCGGGAGAGGGAGAAGCAGGAGCTGGAGAGGGAGCTCGAGCTGTACAGGCAGAAGGTGCAGCACTACGAGGATAGGGAGAGGAGGAGGACGGCGAGCTTCAAGGCCAATGGGGCAAGCGTAAGCCCCAGTGGCAGTGGCACTTCCGTGTCCTCCAGCGGCGAGGACAGCGACGGGCACTCCGACGACTACTGCGAGCTCGGCGAGTCTCCCGACGGCGGCAACGTTCAGAGCTCATCGGATGCTGCTCTTGGCTCCATGAGGGATCAGGACAGCACGAAGCACCTAGCGGCTCTGGATGACTCCTTGACGTACTTTGAGATGGAGAGGCTCTCCATCTTGGAGGAACTCAAGACGCTGGAGGAGAGGCTCTTCACACTGGAAGACGACGATATCAACACCAGCAAACAAGTTACTGGCCATTCCTCGAGTGATTTCGATTTGTCGGCCGATGGCCTTCAGTCGCCTGAGCATGTTGTCACTGGTGACAAGGCAAGGTTCGGAGGAAGGGCCTCTATCAGTAGAGGGAAGAGTCTTCTGCCTCTGTTCGATGCAGTCGGCGACGAGACCTGTGATCAAATGCCGTCTGCAAGAGTAGGAGAGGCAGATCAAGCCGATGATTCGGCAACAAAGCCAGTATCAGTGTTTGTCAAAGAGCAGGAGAGGCTGGCAATCATAGAGGAGGTTGATCATGTCTATGAAAGATTGCAGGCGCTGGAGGCGGACAAGGAATTCCTGAGGCACTGCATCAAGTCCCTGAAGAAAGGAGACAAGGGCATGGACCTTCTCCAGGAGATTTTGCAGCATCTTCGCGATCTCCGCAATGTGGAGCTTCACGTCAAGAATGCCGGTGATGCCATCGCTGCAAATTCAGCCTAGCAAGTCCATCTATATGCGGTAACGGTAAGCACCTTCTGTCAAATCTAGATGTCAATTGAATCAGAGTGATTACTGAAACTGTCTGTATATCCTCAACACAGTCTGTATATCCTCAACATAGCATCTCCCTTAAAAGTTCATATAGTCACACGACTTTGGCAGTTTCCAGCAATAACGTCCAGCAACAATCATGCTTTGCAGATTAGCCTAGCTTGGAATCGATTGAGTAGATTGGATTGGAGTAATCCACGGCACTGCATTGGTGATGGTCCCTGGAAGGTACTGCCTGATTTATAGGAGGCTCTGCTCATTTTGTCTGTGGGCCAGAAGCAAAGCCCTCGCTTTTGTGCTGGTCCAGCACCGCCAGCTATTACTGTTGTGGTGGTCGGTCGTAGGAATCATTAGGCCTTCCAAAGCTGCACAAAGCTGAATCATGGTGACAGCTTCTGTGGCATGCACGGGGCAAAAGAAAAAGGTTAGCCCAAGTGGAGATGTGGATGCTTTTTTTTTGTTATGTTTCCTTATTGGATTTAATCTTTTGGTTAACTTCGGATTTGTTTTTGAGCTGAGGTAGGGAGTCCTCATGTATTTGTTGTATTTTTTTTTGTGAGGTTGTAGCTTGAACGGTTGGTACATGCGGTTTGCTCTTTGTCTATAGTCAGATTTATGATGAAATCCCCCTGTGGTAAAGATTATCTCCTAAGGCTCTAGTCCTTGGGTTTTGCTTCAGATTGGATCCTAACCAGAAACACCGGCGCGGCTTTGCCGCACCCTGTTTGGAGGGTACCAATCCATCTTTCATACATTGTAGCCCTGCCAATCAATCTTGTTTTGCTTGGTTGTTGTGCTTTCATTCTGTAGCTCAGGAATGTACCTTATAATGGAAAATTTACAAAACATAATAATATAATTACAACCATTGACAGATAGCATGGAGGAGAGATAAGTTCAGCTGTTATGGCATTCTAGAATTGTAGGAGTAACTTGTGCTCTGTTATTCGAGTAAACTATGAAACATTAGGACAAAATGGCATATGTACTTTCAAACATATAAGAGTAGCAGCCAAAGAGGAGTCTGATTTCTATGCTGATAATTTCAGCTAACATCAAATCCCACTTTCGCGTGCAAGCAGAAATAACACATGGCACATGGGAATGCAGTTTATATAAGAATGAAGGCATCCATATGAGGTTCTCTACTTATTGGAGGAGTCTTTAGCTTGGCAAATTCACAACAGATCCCAATGAAAGATCCTTTATTCATTCTTTTTTTGACAATGTCTGGTTTATGTTGCTGGATTGATCTGTAGCAATTGACACTATGATTATTTCCTCACCCGACTTAGTAGTTCTTACAAGTGCAATGATATAAAAAAAAGGTATGTTGTACCAAAAACAGAGGATACAGACTCGTTTCTCAAACTTCTGAAGCCGTCCAAAACAAAGGGGAACATGGTTACAACATTTAAGCAAACAATTATACAAACCACCATGTTTCAGAGTTTCAGTATTATGATAGCGTATTGTAAGATACTTTTATTATTATCTTACTTTGAGATATGGCGGTTTGAGTTTGTTGGTGTCAAATGTATACATCATGAAAAGATTACAAGGACACATTTGGTGGGATGACTATTTTTATAATATTGGATGTAATTTTATTTAAATTCTTATTATTTGTAGCTCGTCATTGGCTCTTTTTATTGATATATCAACTTATGTTGTTTGGGATATATCAAGTAAATCAATTAGTGAAGTTTATTATACAGAAAATATGTAGCATTTGCCTCCCTTGTTTTCTTCCCCTGTTAATGATAAAGAGAGGTTGTTGGTATTCTTTTTTTTTCCTTCTTCTGATAGAACATTATATAATTACAACCAGAGGTCTATAAATTATATGTTATGCTAACTAAGAGGAGTTTTCATCTCATTTTATCAAACATATTTATATAAAATCCCCTGCTAACCTTTCAAAAAAAGCATATTTATATAAAATCTAAGAGATTTAATTGCTCTGACACTGCCATAACAAATATGCTAATGGGTTACTCAGTTTGAATGCATACCTGATAAATAAAACTGTAAGCATATTTATATAAAATCTAAGAGATGTAATTGCTCAACACTGCCATAACAAATATACTAATGGGTTACTCAGTTTGAATGCATACCTGATAAATAAAACTGACTCCCCAGCTTTAAGCTGTTTTGCCCCCAACAAAACGACTGTATCCAGCTTGTAGATGTCTCTTTGGTTGGCCTGCAAGGAAGATCAAGTCAATAAAGTTTTAAATATGAGGGGCCAATGATATAGCTGTAACTTTCAATCCATGAACTAAAACCAAAGAAAACACAGTATCTAATCCTACCAAGATAAATCTGATGGAATGTACACAGGTTGTTATGCAAATCAAATGATACACTTAAGGCCTTATTTTGATGTGCATGTATTCATCTCAATCCATATGTGTCGAAGTGGATTGGAGTGGAACTACACTAAATTCCATTCAATTCCACTCCAACACATGTGGATTGAAGTGAATACACATACATCCAAATAAGGCCTAAGGAGGAATCATGCAAATGGAAACCATGTGTGCCTGTACCACCACTTGCAGTTTTTTTTGCATGAATATATAGTAGGATGTTTACTTTGGTATGAGCACCAAGAGTTGGAATTAGGCAGATGGCAATTTCCTGAAATCGTCAGCATACATAAAGGCTCATCAACTTCTGATATTTTTCTATATCCATCTTTTTACAGTTGGTACTTATCAGAGATTAAATTTGACCCATGCTTGTAAGTGTTTTTTAAGTTACATATATTTGGAAGGCAAACTCTGAAACTCATTGGGCCATGCAACATTGTACTTACAAACTGTGCTGGTTGCAATGCCTTAACTATTGCTGCAATTCTCAACATGACTTCTGCTGGCTAGACTATCACATTCAGATAATAGTCTTAGGCATGCACATATGGTCACAAGATATGCTAGCCTCTACCAAGTTGCCTTCAGGATTCTCGCACACAAGAGTTTGGATTTTGTATTAATTTCCAACCTTGCTTGGCTAGCATTGACATGTTAAAAGGAATGGGATTTATGTTTCCTGTTTTCGCGCCGGTGGTTGGGATGCCCTGCGTTGTTGAAAGGATCTAAACAATGCCTAGAGGGGGGGTGAATAGACATATCTAAAAATTTCTGCGTAATCTCAAAATCAAATGTCAGTGATAGTCGAAAGTCCCGATAGTTTGGGCCAGAACTTCCGGTAGCTGGGAGTTCTAGCACCTACGAGAATAGCACTACAAGTGTTAAAATGAACTTTGAGTGAAAGATATCTTACAACCCTACTCCCTAGTGGTAAGATGAAATGTTGGGGTTGCTCCTTTGATGCCGGAAGGTCACCACTCCGTAGATCGAGTTCAAACCCTAAGAGGAGAGTTAGGGAGTAAGACAAACCAACAAGAACAAATATGATAGTACAAATCACAACAACAACAACAACAAGCACGTGGGACACAATAATTTATCCCAACGTTCGGCAACCCCACAAAGGAGCTCCTACGTCCTCGTTGAGGTGACCACAAAGGTCGGAGTCTCTTCCACCTCCTTGCCTCTCTCAAAGCAACCACAAATATCACTCAAGCTTTCCACTAAGAAATCAAGGGTAATACAAACTTTCCAAGGCTCCTCCACAAGATGAAAGCTCTTGGGCGACGCCTAGCCGGCTAGGGTTCCAAGAACCCAAGAGTAATAGACGCAAATCCAACCGGCTTGACGAAGAAATCAAGTGTTCAAGCTTGCCAAAGTGATTCTCTCACTCAATCCACTCTTCTTTCACCCAAAACCCTAGGGGAATCGAAGATTGGAGCAAAAAGGAGAGGAGAGGGGAGCCTTGAATGCTTGGGAGCTATTTTGAACGAAGGTTGGTGAGAATGAATGAGTCGTTGCATTAGGAAAGAGGAGAGAGCTATTTATACTCAAAGGCAAATCGAACCGTTCAGATCTGAGTCAGAAGTTCCGACACAGATCACTGGAACTTCTTGCTCGCATATCGTCGGAACTGCAACACCCTTGGTGTTACACCCTAAATCATTTACTAAAACATGTCATGAGCATCATATTTATGTGTTAATTCATGTGATAGAATGTGTAGATAAATTTCTTGTAACTTAAAATGATTAATAAAAATGCTAAATGAAAGTTGATTCAATAGTTCATGTATATCAAGTAGGGTTTAAAACCAATTTTTATTAAGTAAAAATACTATAGAACATGTGTGTGATACTTAAATAAAGTTTGAAGTACAAACTTTGTAGATGACAGTGAAATACTTGCTGTTGAAAAATGATATTACTAGCTAATATTTCTACTAGCCTAGAAATTGCAAATTGAAATCAAGTTCAGCTCAAAAACTTAGAAAATTTCGAAGTCTGTCAACATCTAGACAATGCTATGTTTATCAAATTATTTTGAGAGATTGGGTTAATGGGTGGTGTAGTGTTATAGCTTGATTTGGTAATCTCATATGCCATCTTGAGTATGGTGAAGATGGTTTAGGTCCGAAGCAACCGTTTAGTTTTTATAGGCGCTTTAAAATTCGTGCACGGCATGTTTTCGGGTTGGCTCGCCGGGTGGATGCGGTCACCAGGCTCGGACGCCGCGTGTGGCCAGCCGTGCTGCCTCTGGCCTAGCTACGGCCTGGCCACCGCTGGTCCCACCGCGCGGAGCCACCGCTACTGCCGCCTGCCCCTCCCCGCGCCGCGACAGAGCCGCCGCCGATGCCATCACCTCGTCGTCGCGTCCATGTTGCTGCCCTGCCTCACGTTGCCGCTACCGATGCCACTGTGACGCTATGCTGCGCTGCCACTCGCCTTGTCCCACACGCATGTGGTCTGTCCCGGCTGACTCGTGTCGTCGCCTCGCCTTAATGGCGCTGTGGCCACGCATGCTGCTCCCCCACTTGCCTCCGTGCGCACGCACATGGTCTGGCCGCGTTGT